GGTAGCTCCGGTGCGGCGGCGGTCAGCGGTTGGCTCCCTTCTCCAGCGTCTGGTTCTTCTTATCCGGCAGGGAGACTTACGGCTAGGGTTCGAGTTCAATGTGATGCGAAATATTTATACCCATCTAGTGTTAATGTAGACCGTTTATCGTGTTTGATCTCGACCGTCCGATCGCGCTTAAGGAAGAAACGAATTTGAACCGTTCATCGCGTTTGATCTCGACTGTTTGATCGCGCCTAAGAAAAAAACAAATTCGGACCGTCTACGCATGCAAGATTGTTCCTGGGTCGTCCGATCGCGGGGCACGCGGATTGCCAACGTGGCCTCCTGCGTGGCACTGAGTCAACCTGTCTTGCCATGCGGCGCACTGCGATTCGTAGAGGCTGCTGATTGGGCAGTCCTACGTGGCCAATTTTTTTTATTTGCAGTCTAATTTTTCTTTCAAAAATACTATCAGAACTCATATTTCTATATTTTTTTTTATCAAAATTATTTTCAATCTCATCCATAATTTATTTTTTTTCTAAATATAACATAAATTACATTAAATTAATTTATAAAATGTATTTTTTATACATATCTAAATTAACAAAATTTATTCCGGATTCGGATATTAGATATAGACTTGTTTTATGCATAAATATAAAAGAATCATTCTTATTATTTCATCATAATTTAACCCACATATATATAATTCTATATTAAATGAATAAAAATAGTATTCTTGTTAATAACCCACATATATATATATACATGTGTATACCCATATTTATATATAGATATATATACATATATATATATATACACATACACATGTTTTAAACATAAATAAAAAGAAACAATCTTATTATTTGATTTTTGGACTTGTCTTTATTAATCTTAAACTAGTAATATCTTTTTACCTAATTCATATTGTAAAATCTTAAATTGGCAAAAAATGGTGACTAACTTATGATTAAGCAATGATGTCATATGGGTTTCTATTATCTATATGTATACATATATATATATATATATAATTAATTTAATTTCGAGTGTGTTGGGTTACTTTCTTCTCTCCCAAAAAGAGATTCATGTGTGCCATTTGTTTATATGTCCTTTTCTATAAAATTCATTTCAAAAACTTATTTTATTAATTAAAAATAAAATCTTTATAATTTACGAAAAAATAAAATAAAAAATCAATTTTTTTAACATTTATTAATAATATTAATTAAAAAATTAAGAAATTTAAATAAATAAATATATATATATTTATTAAAAAAGAAAATTATTAAGGGAATGATACGGGGGATAATTAGGGAGAATGGATTTGATTGTGATGGGTTTTGG